ATTTGCTAGGCCTAAGATAGAAAGGTATTAAGATGTGTTTCTGTTACTCACATATCCTGTATGGCCATCTGTGAAATGGTGGGTTCTGGATGAGAAGAAAGCCATAGAGGAGCAGAGTCAAGAATTCAATGCCACCCACTTGACAATGAAGAGGTGGCTGAGGGTGGAGTGGGGCATGAACTGGCTGCAGTGGCTGTGCCAGCTGCTACCCCTAATCATCTGTGGTGGATGCTTCCTCCTCAGAAACACCTTCTAGTCTATGGCCACCCGACCTTGAATGTACCCAGTCTCGTCAGAGAACACACCCTCTCCTAGTTTTTAAAGCAGTTTTTATAAAATGATTTTGTACATGTAGGATATGAATGATTGGTTTATAAGCTACATAATGACTGTAATAATCTATAGAGTACCTCTGTAGTAAAATATGAAAAAGCTTCCGGCTCTTAGTCTTGTTTTTTTACTGTGGATTTAGGCCAAAGGTTTATTCATTTCAGCACCTCTAATTTTAAACATCTTAAAAACCAAACAGTGGACTGGAGAGATGTCTCAGCAGGTAAGAGCAGGGTATTGTGCTTGCAGAGGACTTGAATTTGAGTTCCTAGCATTCCCTTGAGAGGTAGCTTACAACTGCCTGCTTCAGGGAATCCTATGCCTCTGGCCTTCACAGCCAACAGCATCAAGTCACATCTCAGCCTCATTGCCTGGCCTCTCTGAATTCTTACTGTTTTTATTCCACTGTGTGTCCTTCACAGTCAGAAGTGGGAACTGCAGGGCTTTGGGAGTGCTCCTGGCTAGTTGGTGTTAAGGTAGGGTGCAGGAGGCCCTTGAGGGGACAGGGCCTGTCATTTGGAATAATGTTGGGGTTGTGGTGCTGACATGGAACCTAGAGAGATTTGAGTGAGAAGGCCCCAGCACTGCCGAACTCTCTGGGGAGGGGGGAAAAGTGTTGGGGAAATAGGAGGGAGGGACTAGAAACCATTCTGTGTCTGAGTCAGAGTAATAAGACGATTTCATTTGCTCAGATGGATGAATGGACAATAATGAACACAGATGTTTGTAAGTATTGTGTGACTGCGTCCCAGGGCCTCTCAACCCATCATCATTCCACGATTCCATCACCACTGTACTCAGTTGGTAAGAGCAAATAATACCTAATCCTGCCAAATAGGAAGAGGAATAGGGAGGGTTTGGAGTGAACACCACCAAATGAGGAAGAAGAACTTGAAAGTTTTTTTTAATTAATTAATTTATTTATTTAAATAGGCTTGGCAGGTTTGCTTAGGGCTAGTCTGGTTTATCAATAACTCTGCATAGGAAGTAAAAGTTGGTTCTTTTTCCTCTTTATTTAACAAAACCATACCCATGGTTTTCCTGCTTTTGTGCCAAACCTTATAAAAGGAGTTGTATTCTTGGGAGTTTTGGTAGTGGCATATGCTGGTGAGAAAGCCCCTCCCACTTCCTTTCTTTACTCAGAGACTAGTATTTTGTCTTATTTCCTTTGATGATGACAATCTGAAGGTTGGAGGCAGAGGGTCTCTGAAAGTGGTTGGGGAGGGTAACAGGAAAGAGTGCTGTTTTAGCTGATTTGAGACTTGGTTTCTTTTCCTTTCTTTCTTTCTTTCTTTCTTTCTTTCTTTCTTTCTTTCTTTCTCTCTCTCTCTCTCTCTCTCTCTCTCTCTCTC